CTTAATTTTAATCGTTATGCATATGTATAAATCATGTGTCACTCATTTGTAGTCACTTAACTTAGTTTCTTAGTGGTGAGGACGTGACGGGCAAAAATGTAACGAGGGGCAGATGATCCTGGAGGTCAGTTGGCCGTCCTTCCTCAGCATAGGGGAAGAGGAGAGAATACTTCCTTATTCCTTTAGAAACTGTAGCAGATGGTGATAAATGCAGACCGTGTGTGATAGTGCCACTTAAATATCAAAGAATTCTTCGAACAGCTAACCAATGTGTATCTAACGGATCTGACATAAATTGGCATGTCTTGTTGACTCTGAAAGCAATGTGAGGTTGTGTCAAGGTGACATATTTCAGGGCACCCACAATGGACCTGTACATAGTAGGATAAGCCAATTAAAAAAAGACCATGTTTGTTGAGTTTGCAGTGGCTCATCATGGGGGTTGTGACACCATTAACATTAGACATGTTTTCTCTTAACAAGAGGTCTCGAATGTATTTTGACTGATTGAGAAACACCGAACCATCTTGTTGAAATCTGACTTCAATACCTAAAAATAACTTGGTCTTCCCAATTTCTTTACGGCAAATGCAGTATGTAGCTTATTGATTAAATCATGAATTAGTGCAGAAGTAGATCCAGTAATGAGAATATCATCAATATATACTAAAGCATATAGGAAAGTACCTTGATGGCAATACAGAAATAAAGAAGTGTCACACTTTGAAGTTGTAAAGCCAAATTGTAATAAGGCTTGAGCAAACTTCTCATACCAGACCCTTGGAGCCTATTTAAGGCCATAGATGGCCTTGTTGAGTTTACATACCAGGGTCTTGCCAACAGACGCAAAACCTGGAGGTTGAGTCATATAGACTTCATCGGATAAGATGTCATTGAGGAAGGCATTATTGACATTAATCTGTTGGATATCCCATCTGTGTGTGAGAGCCAAGGTGAGAATAACCCTTATAGTAGTAGGTTTGACCACTGGAGAGAAAGTCTCAGTATAGTCAAAGCCATGTTCTTGATATATCCTTTAGCCACAAGCCTGACTTTGTACTTATTGATAGAGCCGTCAGCATTTTCTTTTATTTTGAAGACCCAGCGACAGGCCACAACCTTCCTATCAGGTGGTAAAGGGGTTTGAGTCCAGGTATGATTTGTTTGTAAGGCATCATATTCAGATTTCATAGCAGTGGTCCGGGTAGGATGGGAGAGAGCTTGTTTAATAGTTGTTGGTTCAGCTTCAGTGTGAGCAAGCAAGGCTTTAGGCCTAGATTTTCCAATTTTGGCTCTGGACATCATGGGATGATCATTGACTAATAGATGATGAGGAGATTTCTGAGTTAGAATGGAGGGTGAGTTGGAAGACTCGGATATAGGAAGGGGAGAGTTTGTTTCTGACTGACTAGAATAAAAACTAAGAAGGGGGCTTGTGTTTGACTCAATGGGAGTGACTTGAGGATGTTGAACTAAGTTCAGGGGAATGGGAGTTGTGATATTCACACTAGTAGGAGAAGTTGATGTATTATCCTCTGGACAATAAGATTCCCTAATATTTGGACTTGTGAAAGTATCCTTAGAATATTCATAATGTTTGACATTATCCTCAGGATAATTTGAGGGACCTGCTGCAGAGTCTGGCTGATCAGTCTGCTTAGAGATAGGAGCAGGTATAGTACCTTTTTGAGGCATTAGAGGTAGCCTGTGTGGTAGTTGGTATGATAGTAGCTAGAGTATTACCAAAGTGAGGTTAACTAGTCGTAATAGAGTATGATGCCAAATTAGGTGGCTCATAAGTAAGTTGAGGTTGCTCAGAAATAAACTGAGGATTAGGCTCTCTTGTAGGACATGGCTGCTGGATAGACTCTTAAGCAGTTGAAACATCATAAGACTAACATAGATAGGCGCCAACCTTTTAGTAGTTGGTGTATGATGAGCTGGAGCTGTGACAACTGACTCCTTGAGGAGCCTAGTAGGACAGGTCATGTGTGTGCCAGTGGATGCAGGTGTAGTTTGAGTGTTGGGATGAAATAGTTGGGGAAAAGGAAAGTGATTTTCATTAAATGTAACATCTTTGGAGACATAAGTTTTCCATAGCTACTCAGACATTTGAAACCCCTATGGTGAAGTGATACACCAAGATAAACACATTCTTGACTTCTGGGCTGCAATTTGTGTTGATTGTAAGGTCTGAGCAAGGGATAACATGCACGACCAAAAACTCTAATAGCCTTGTAGTCTGGATGTTTTCCATAGAGAGAGTGAAAGGGTGAATGATGTGTTGTCAATGGAGCAGTATGCAACATGTTCATTAAGCAGACATGAGTAGAGAAATTGTGATCCCAATAGGTTAGAGGGATTGGAGAGTGAGCTAGTATGGTAAGTCCCATCTCAATAATGGTTATATGTTTTCTTTCAACTGAACCATTTTGATGTGAAGTATGAGGACAAGTCAGTCTATGTGTGATGCCTAGTTCTGCTAGAAATTTGGTAAAAGGCCTAAGTTCTCCACCAAAGTCAGATTGGACAAATTTAACAGTTAGATTGAATTGTGTTTGAACAAATTTATGGAATAGTTTGAAAGCTCCTAGGGCCTCATATTTTTGTTTAAGAAAGTAAAGTCATGTATATCTAGTGTGAGCATCTACAAAAGCAATATATTATCTAAAACCAGAACATGAAGGTGATGGAGAAAGACTCCAGAGATCAGTAAAGATAACATCAAATGCTCTATTATATACAGTATGCGTCAATGGAGCGTGTAACCTATGAGCTTTGCCAAGATTGCAAGATGTACAAAAAGACATTTGTATATTTGAACAAGTAATATTACACAATTTGAGCATATGAGTGATAGAAGAAAAGTTAGCATGGCCTAATCTATGATGCCATAGCATACTAATATTAGATTTATTTGTCTTATGAGCATCAGACTAAAAAATAAAAGTAGACTGAAAAGCATTGTAACTTTGAATACTCTTCACAATGTTGTTCAAATTATATGACCTGGATGACTCCAAAGGCAGAAGTGGAAAGCAGTAGAGGCCACTAACATCCAAGACTCCTTCAACAAAAACTTGTTTAAAAGCCTGAGATTTAATGTAACATTTGTCAAATAGAAATTCAAAGATAACATTGTTATCATGTGAAATTTTGGAAACAGATAGAAGATTTCTAGTAATAGCAGACGCATGTAAAATATTGGTGAGTGTCAATTTACAATGTGGTACAAATGGAGAGCCAAATTGGGTAGATCCTATAGATTTGATGGTGAGTGTGTGTCCATTCCCTACATATACTTTGTTAGATCCTATGTATAACTTAGAATTTTGTAAATGAAAAACATAGGGAGTTAGATGGTGGGAAGCACCTGAATCCACAAACCATGCTTGAGAATCTAGTGTTGTGGGAAGTGAGTACTCCTGAGTAGTCCCAAGTGGTTGACCCGCGGAAGCCATCATAGCCACAACTTGTGAATTTTGTTTGTTGTCTGTTGATTTCTCCTAGCTTGCATCTGTACTGCTACCGGGTTTTTCTTGAGCGGTGTTAGCACCAGGTGGCATGAAATTCCCATCAAATTGATGCCAACACGAGGAAACAGCATGACCATAATTGCCACATAGCTGACAAGTAGGTCTATTACCAGTGGAGACCTAGTTCTGCTCATGCCTCGCCCTCGAGTATACCTATTACCTCTGCCATTATGACCTGAGTAACCACCTCTAGAGTTATTATTGTCACGACTTATGTGAGCTAGGTTAGCAGCAATGTTTGAGGCTGATAGTTCCTAATGAAACTTCTCCAACTAAGCCTCTTGAACATACAGAAGAGCTTTGACATCACACAAAGAGGGTGACACAGGGTTACCATACATTTATATCACAAAGGAGTTATACTCCTCAGGGAGGCCATCCAGAATAGCATCAATTTGATATTGTTCAGTGATTGTATCACCAACAGTTAATAACGAGTTGGCTATAGCCTTGATCCTTAACACATTCCCTTCTTGGTTGATTTAAGTTCCACCCTCAATCATCTAACCCTAGCCTTCATCTGCGTTGTGAAGTATTGATGAATTTTGTCTCACACTTCATAAGCGTGTTTGCACGTAAGCACACAAGGCAAGATAGACTCATATATGGTGGAAAGTAGCCAGATAAACATGACTTAATCCTGAACTAACCAAGCTTCATACTCATCAGAAATCGTACCTGTTATGCAATCCTAATTCAAATTGTATTTCTCTGAAACCTGTGGATTGACGACAATTTTGTGCATCTTCTGTGCCAAGATAACTCCTTCCACTTACTAATTCCAAAGAAGGTAGTTGTTTTCTTGCTGCTTGATAAAATAAAAAGTAAAACCACATGGACATTCAGTGTAGGTGTTGGATTATGTGTTCAAATAACTTTCCTGATGTCTATCATGTATACAAACAGTAGTTTTAACTACTTCATGGCTAATGAGAAAATTTCATATTCAAATACTAAAATCATTTTTCATTCAAGTACTTCAATCATTTTGCACTCCAATAAAACAACCTCTAAGAGTTCAAAATGGGACTCTCTCAATTCAATCTTTAATTTGCATTTCCTTGTACATTCACGTCATCCTGCTTCAATAGGAGAATTTGCATGAACCAGCTTTTAACTCTAATAAAACTACTAATACTAAATACAAGAAATGCCAATGGACCTGGCTTAAAATAAGAAGTTCAAATCTATCTACTTCACATTTAGTAAATCAACCACATCTAAATCTTTAAGCTGTCTTGAACATAAAACAGTAAGGGTTACATATTATTGAAACTGACAGCATTGCAAAAAAGCCAATAATCGGATTCATAAACATATCCATACACAATAGCTGCCTGGAAAATGGTTTATAGAATACTGTACTCAGAAACCACCCAACCCCAAATCGCCCTGTTCCACTGAGTCTTATCATGAAGTGCACTAAGGTGCTATGTTGAATCGTTAACTTTAAAGTCAAAGACACTAAGCTGTAATCCTAAACCGACCCTTAGCTACTCTTCGGGCAATTACCTTTCTGCCACCCTTGGTTGCTTTCCTGCTCAAGCAAAAGAAAAATCAGATCATTGTTGAGATTACTAATGGGAATATGCATATATGCAATATGGAAAATTTACCAGTTGTTTCCGGTTTATTCACAAATGGAAATGCCAGAAAATTTGATATTAACTATAAAGCAGTTCCGTCGATGACGAGGGGTAGAAAAAGGAACAAAATAAAGCAAACAGTCCTAGGGTCTAATAAAATCACGCAGTAAGTTTGACACTTTGCCTGGTCATAGTCTGCCAAAATCAATGTATAAACGATAGTAGTATAATCTATTATGCCAAAATGATCATCTATGCCAAAATCAATGTAAAATTTCCAGATTATGCTAGAAACCCTTATTATCAATGTATAATCTATGCCAAAATCAAAGCAACCGTAGTTTAGACACAAGCGCAACAATATTCAAATGTGGTATCATGGTCCAACTTCCAATAAACAATCTGGTCTTACTTTTTGTTCAATTAAAAGATTTCAAATATTTTTCATGATTGATGAACTATGCCCCAAACTAAAAGACCTAGGCAGTAGAATGTAAATGTACAACGAAATTGTAATAGGTGCCTACATTAATTGACCATCTCTTTTAAATCCATTGTATCAGTGTATTTGATCTTGGATAGCCAGATTATCCTAAAGCATAATGATCATCTCCACGGTAATTTAAAGTTCACAAAAACTGACATACATGTGGAAGAAAAGGAATGCTTAAAAGTCATATTTTCTTCTCTTTTTTGTTGAAAGAAACAGCCATATGTTTTATTTATACTTATAAAATTCAGGACTAAAGGGTACATCGGGATTAAAAGATGAGAGATTTACCGAGCAAAAAAACCATGATTCCTCTTTCTGCGGATAATGCTAGGTTGAAATGTCCTTTTTGGGAATAAAATCATTGGCTCGTCTGAAGAAGTGTCCCCTGCAGAATAAGAATGAGATTAACTAAAAAGAAAATCTAGAGGGACAGAAATTGCTTAAAATTTCATAAAACATCATTTAATGTTCAGGCTAGCATGAGAATACACTTTGTAATAGAAATGTAAAGCATGGCAAATCAGATAGCAATTTGAGTATATATGTACAGTCACTACAGGAGTGAATTGTGTTAAACTACTAAGCATACTCTACTTAATAACTTCTATGGGCAATGAATTTCATTTCATCTACATTCAACCGTTGGTTTGAATGTTCTTAGTAAGTAGGTCAAGTCAACATAAATAAATTCATGTGATTTAAAAACAAATTAATACTTCAAGCAGACAACTTTATGTCAATGTCTATAATGTGGCGTGCATAACCAACATAAAAATGTCATATCACTAATATCATTGATATATTCAATGCCTGAACTTATTAGAAGTGTATTATGCAAAAAGCTACGAAGAAAGTAAGTTTTGACCAAACATATTCTTAAAGTGAATTCCCAACATAGATATATTTGGGGACAGGTATCCTATTCCATCCCTGAATTCCCTTTTTATGTTCATATTTTCCATTACTATATAGTCAAGCAGGAAACCAAACTGAAGCAGCAGAATTGCATAATAAAGTCCACAAGTTTTATCCTTCAAACAAGTGTTGTAACTTGTAAAATAGTGACTACAACAATCAAGGTTGTCAAACTCAAGAGTTTAAATAGAGACTATTACAGTCACAAGCCCCTAACATCAGTCCATAAACTTGACTGAGTCTACAAGTTGACTCATGAGTTTGATAACCATGATAGTCACTACAACGTAATGGAATTTGAACAAATCACCATCGTTCGGCGACATGGTATTTTGTATAAAGTATGGTCAAATAAAGGTGATAGCACAGTAGCATAGCAGAATTTGAAGTAAAAAAAAACGCTATTTTCTACGACCCACAATTGACAACATGGCTTTGAACAGCCTTCCCTTCTTTATCACTCCAATGTCGAATCCCTCTCCAAACCACCAAATAGCTTATCACTTCTCATCAATATGGCCTTGAATGCATAAATAAAGTGAACTAATAAAGAACCTAACTAAGCCTCTTCTTACTCAGTGGTTTGATCTTGTAAACAAAATTTTAAGATATAGCATAAAAAAGAAATATATATCTAAGTTAAGTTTAAGCTTCTAATCATCCAATTTCAACTAATTACATCATACTTTGATAACATAACACCAAACAACACAAATCACAAAATGCTAACATCACAAAAAACACAGCATCAGCTATAATCCAGCATTTAACCGATCAATTGCATTTTAAATAACTTAACTTGAAAAAAAAAATCTCATTTTCCACCGATTTCAAATTAAAATACCCATTTTTTCAACAAGGATATAGAAGGTACCATTAGGTAAGAAGAAGCGAAGAGAAGGGAGGCCGCATGGGTAGAGAAACCCTTCGGAGGAAATAAGGTTCTTCGCTGATTCGGCGTCGTTTTGAGGAAAATTCTGGAGCTTGGGGAGGGATGGGAAAAGGTAAGGTTGATGATGATTGGAATTCAGAAGTGATTTTGAATTTGATAGTGATAATCGATTCAACAACGCAACTCCATTTCTGAGAAGAGATTTCGAAGCCATTTTCTTAATTGGTTTTGCTCAGAGTGTTTGGTAAACCCTAGTAGTAGTATATTCACTCGGCCATGGAGAACAACGGGAAAATGGGTCGGTTGTTAAATTCGGGTTGGAGTATTCGACCCGGTATTATTATTCACACCATATTTATATTAAAAAAAAAACTTACATTTTTTTTAATTATTTACTGTTAATTTATCATTATCGTTGGTATTATTTTACATGTTATTAAAATTAAAATTAAAATTTTTTATATATTTAATATATATAATTAACTCTAAAATCATTTTACAAGCATTTCAGTTAAATCCTATCTTTTTAAATTATTATGTTTTTCAATTAAAATATTAAAATAAGTATTTTTCTTTACTAATTTTTAAAATACTCATGTTTAAAAAAAATCATGTGTAGTATTCTAAGTCAAGTAAATCTATCATATAAAAACATAATAATATGTTCTGAAAATCATATAAAAAATCATTTTTCTTCTAAATCTTCCACGTCACTGCATTTTTTTTTATATTTTGTCAAGTAACATTTTTTTATAATATTTAAATAGTTTTTCAAAACCAAAATATAATATAAACAAATTTTCATTAATATAAAATATTTTTTTTCACCTGCTCGTCTGTTCGTCAGCTTCGTCAAAGGGACATTTATTTTTATCTGAATTTATTCATCATATTTGTTAAATCTAAAATAAATTTAAAAAGAAAGTATTTGATTTAAATAAATAGATAGTTTTTTCATTATATTTGTTAGATCTGAAAAAACAAATACTTATACATAATTAATTTATAAGAAGATTAGTTAAATGAAAGGGAGAAAAAAAATACAAGGTTTTTGTATAAGAACTGCACAATGTGTTGCTATTTTTTTTTTCTTTACTTATTTTGTAATGCTTTATTTGTTAATTTAATAACAAGTGTTTTTCAACAATGTAGGCCCTGAAGTTCTCAAGATCTTCAACTGTGTAAGCATGTTGGATACCAACTTACAATTAATTGTTTTATTTCTTTTGAACAACATCTCACACATTAGATAGTTCTAACTCTACTTTTATCTTTGTGTTAGACTTATTATAAAAAATGGTTCACCTGTTACACTACTGACCCATTTATGGGCCACATGTTGATGTCTAACACAGATATAGCTTAGGTTTGTAGTATGTTTGTGCTTGAGGGTTCAGTCTTTCAACATCATGTTTGTCTATTATTTATTTGTTTAAAAACTTCATTAAGTTTGTTTAGTGATTTGATTAGTGATTATATGTTTTAATTAACAATGTCTCAAATTTCATCTATTTATTTAGGGTTGTTTTACACATGCATCTACATACCATATTTTACACTCCTCATATTCAAATGTTTTATTTTTTCAATTCACTAATTTATTTGCTCTATTCTGGTGTTATATTTGCAGGACATCTACTATGGTCACCTTGTGTGATAGCCTAAATTATTAAGGCTTTTTATGAATTTGAAACTAATACTACAACTATTCATTTCTGTTTTTCTTTTTCAAATGCATTTCACACTTTCGATCATTCATTTCATTTTTTTAAAGCATTTTTTTAATTTAACTAAAGTAGTACCTTTTAGGTTGTAATTAGATATGCTTATTTGTAACTAACTATTTTATTCTAAAGTAAGTAATCTCTTTATTCATAGCTAATAATTTTATTTGGACTAAGTAGCCTCAATCAAAAAAACAAAAGAACATCTATACGTGAACTGTAAAAGGAAAAAGTAATTGGTGCATTGTAAGTTGTACTAACATTGGCACTACTATATAATACGCCTCCGATAACATTAATTCTACTATAGTTATGATTCTACCGTTGTAAAATCGTAAATTGGATGCGTCTGATATATATTTTTCTTTTATGAAAGTTATTTAATCACGGTTGCTATAACCAACCGTGGTGATAAAGTAATAGTTACAAGCTTTGAATCGTAGCAACTACTTTTTTTTTCATTTTTTCTATTACAAAAAACGTGTATCACTTAAGTTCAGAAATAAATAAAAAAATTGAACATTATTTAACCCCGGTTTTAGTCTACAACCATTGTAATAATATCTACATTTCACTATGGTTGTAAATATCAATCGTAATTAAAGTTGTGATGATATATGTCAAAATTATACAATATGGATGTGGCATGGTAAGGTGGAAAAAAAATTGAAACCCTGTATCACAAAGTCACGAAGTTGATGAAGATGAATATATGGATGACTATCTAGAAGATATGTCCCATGATATTGGAGAATATTCTTTTAAGAAATCTCATGTTTATGATACTTTATGTAGTGATAAGGACACCCCTTTATATAAGGGGTGCACAAGTTTTACACAATTGTCTGTAGTTTTAAAATTGTTTAGTCTGGAAGCAAAAAAATGGGTGGCCGGATAAAAGTTTCACAAAATTGCTTAATTTGCTGAAACAATTGCTACCAGAAGATAACAATTTGCCTGATCGTTGTTATGATGCCAAGAAGATATTGTGTCCATTGAGTTTGGAGTATATTAAAATACATGCATGCTCTAATGACTGCATATTATACAGGAAAAAGTATAAAATTTTTTATAAATGTCCAGAATGTGGGGTGTCACGTTACAAGCTAAAGGACAACAATGGATATGACAATGATAATGACAGTGTTAGTAAGAAGAGGCCTCCTACTAAATTGTTATGGTACTTGGCAATAGTTTCAAGATTCAAGAGACTTTTTACTAATGCAGATGACACAAAGAATATTAGATGGCATGAAGATGAAAGAAAATATGATGGAAACATACGCCATGTAGTTGATTCTTTGCGATGGAAGAAAAATGATTCGTTGTGTCTAAATTTTGGCACTTAGCCAAAAAACCTTAGGCTGAGGCTTGCCACCGATGGAATTAACCCCTTTGGTAATATGAGTACTAACCTTTCTCCGTGGCCCGTTCTTCTCACGATTTACAATCTATCTCCTTGGTTGTGCATGAAGCGTAAGTATATGTTGTTAAGTATGATGATATCTGGACCACGACAACCTGGAAATGACATAGATGTTTATCTAAGTTAATTAATTGAAGATCTAAGACTTTTGTGGTAGGAAGGCGTTGAAGTTGATGATGCATATTTTGGTGAAAAGTTTAAGACGCGTGCAATGTTATTTTGCACAATCAACGACTTTCCTGCATATGGTAATTTAGCTGGATATAGTGTCAAAGGACACAACACGTGTCCTATTTGTGAATCAGATACATGTTATCACCAAATTGAGTTTGGAAAAAAGACTGTTTACCTTGGACAACGCAAATTTCTAAAACTCAATCATTCTTATCGTAGGTTGCGGAAGGCTTTTAATGGAGAGCAGGAGTTTGATATCGCTCATAAACCTTTAATTGGGGATGAAGTTTATGAACGACAGAAACACATTAATGTTGTTCTTGGAAAGAGGGAAAAAGAAAAAGGGCAAGTTGTTAAGAAAAAGATATGGAAAGAGAGGTATGTGTTCTTTGATCGTCCATATTGGTCAAGTCTCGACGTAAGACATTATCTTGATGTGATGCATGTGGAGAAAAATGTGTGTGATAGTTTGATTGGAACACTTCTAAATATTCCAAGAAAGACTAAAGATAGTAATCGATCTCGTCTTGATATGGAGGCAATGGGTATACGAAAATAATTGGCTCCAATAGAAAAAGGGAAAAAAAACTTATTTGTCTTTGGCTTGTTACACTCTATGTAAAAAAGAAAAAGAAAAGTTTTTACGAGTGTTTGCATGGTATCAAAGTTTTCCAAGGTTACTCATCAAACATCAAGAAACTTGTATCAATGAAAGATCTCAAGTTAATTGGTTTGAAATCTCATGATTGTCATGTCTTGATGCAACAACTTCTACTAGTGGCTATCTGTGGCATCCTACCAAAAAATGTGAGAGTAATTATTACCAGATTATGTTTGTTCTTCAATGTCATATGTAATAAATTTCTTGATTTCAAAAAACTAGATGAATTAGAAGATGAAACAGCCATAATCTTGTGTCAATTAGAGATGTATTTTCCTCCATCATTTTTTGACATTATGGTTCACTTACTCGTTCATCTAGTTAGATAAATCAGAATTTGTGGTCTAGTTTATTTAAGGTGGATGTATCCAATACAGCGATACATGAATATCTAAAGGATATACAAAGAATCATCACCGACTGTAAGCTTCGATTGTTGAAAGATACATCACAGAAGAAGCTAATGAGTTTTGTGTAAACTATTTGTCTGAAGCAGAGTCTATAGGAATTCCAAAGTCTCATCATGCTGACACTGAAGGTAAGAGGTATTCAAGGTTTAAATGTTAAGTCAATGGCACGGGATGTAGTTATTCAAATACATTTATATATATATATTGAATAATCCTGATAAAGTTCAACCTTACGTGGCTACTCACAAAATACTTTTGAAGAAAAGATAGTCACGAATGAGTGACAAGTTATTGTTGATCGAGCATAATAATAAATTCCTAGATTTGTTTAATAAAGGATGCCAAAAGATCATAGTTCATCCGAGACAATTAAATGGTTGTCGTTCATGCCAAAATTTAATGTGATAACTTGGGCTGCATATGACATTGGTCATTATACCTTGTATACAAAATAAAAAGATGATTGTAGTACAATGAAAAATAGTAGGGTTATGGTAGACGGAATCTATGTATTTCTCTAGTTCAAAAGATAAGAATCCAATATTTGCATCTAGTGAGTTCTATGGTGTCATTGAGGAGATTTGGGAGATTGATTATGTTATCTTCAGAGTGCCTTTATTTAAATGCTAGTGGGTTCCCAATAATATTAATGGTGTACAAACTGATGACTTAGGATTCACCCGGGTTGACCTTGGCAAGGCAAATTATATGACCGAACCATTCATCATGACTTCATAAGCAAAACAAGTTTTCTATGTGACCGACCCTTCTGACACATCGGGAAAATGGTCAATCATTCTCTGAGGAAAAGATATTCCT